GGCTTCCCTTTTTTGGGGTCAGTTTTTCTAGCACCATCCGCAGAATCCCCCAGCGCCTGCTTTTCTCTGAGGCTTTGTGAAGTGCTGATGGTCAGCATGTGCCAGTCCATATCCCCCCCTGCCCCCCAACAATCCACACCTCTACAACCCACCCCATGGGGGCTATTGTCCTTAATGTTGTTTACCACTGGGATAACGCTGAAACTGCATTGGGTTTTGTAGGGAACAAGGTGACACCTCAGGCAATAAAAGATGTAGCCACAGTTGAACCAAAAAAAAAAATGGAAAAGGAAATGTGCACATACACGGAAAAGTGCAATATGTAATTAAAAATAGTTCATTACCAGTTTTGCTGTGTTAAACAAAACATATACAGGAAAAAGATAGTGTCATCTGCATACAGTGATATATGATATTGAATACTTGAAACATGCGGGTAGTATATTGAATGTTGGGATGTATGATGTCAAAACAAAAATGCAAATTGTTTAAGGTTTTATTCCTAACCATTAGATCTACATTAGACCAACTTGACATTTAGCCACATTCTTATGAAAGGTGCTGTACAAAAAAAGAAACTCAATTCATTTGAATCATGCTCTGGCTTAAAATGTCTCCACTTGGCAAACCATGAAGGAGGTCTTTGTCTCTTCAGACTGACATCGTTTTATTGACATTTTAAGACTGGAAAGATAAAGTGTACAGATACAACAAAGGGAAGTAGTGAAAGTGAAGGTCTCCTGACCCCTCCTCATGTGACAAACCTAAAAAAAATTATACTGCTGCAGTAATTTCCCAATTTCCTAAGCGTGATATGAAGAGACATAACCAAGACAAAAAAAGAGTATCTTAATGTCATTTCTTAATGCACTTTTCTCTTTCCCATTCAGAGAATATGAGCAACACTGTCTTTCCATGAACTGAATCTTAACAGCTTTGCTTCAGGCTAAGGTCAGGTGATCCTGCTCAGAAGGTAAAAGGTGTCACACCCACTGCCAGAGAAAAGACATTTTCAACTGCTTTGACAAAATGGAACAAAAAGAAGTTTTCCACAAAGCAAAGGGATTCTTTCAAATTTGTTCTGTAAAACAAGATCAGATATACGTAAAATAAGCCTTTAGGAAGGTACTCATGGCTTAGTGGTAAGGTCGTACCTCATGTATAGAGGCTTTGGTCCTCTTTGGTCCGGGTTCAAGTCAGACCTGCGGCTCCTTTCCCGCATGTTCCTACCCATTGTCTTATCTATATGGAGGCAACCCCCCAACAAAAAAAATCTATAGAGGCCTCAGCCACTTCTAAAAAATGTAAATTGAGATTTAAATGGTAAATGGACTTGAGCTTGTATAGCGCTTCTCTAGTCTCACCACTCAAAACACATTTCACACCACGGGCCACACTTAACACATTCACACACAGGTCTAGTTAAACCAAGGGGTTTAACTGGTATAACCATAGAAACAATAATTGCTCTAAATAAAGCACTGGACTTGCCCATGTGTTACACATAAAGAGCTAGAACTGGTAGCTGCCATTAAAACTCCATTCATCTGACATCCAATTATAGCAGTGTGATGTGTGGGCAATTGCACACATTTTTGCCAGGCGTATAGACCAGTTTGTTGGCTGCAGGCAGCCTGGTTGGGCTTTGGACATGTGCCCATGTGACTTGAGTGTTGGCACATGTGACAACATGCACACATACATGTGGATGCAGGCACATGTCTCGCCTGTCTCAGGTCATCTTATCAAAGCCGTGGGCTCAGCTAGAGCAGAGGGCCATGCTGTTTATGTGTGTTACTCTCTTACAAATTGTGCATAAAAATGTTTTGGGACAAGATTTTGGTATTGGTAATTTGTATTATGATATTGTACTTGCATTATACTCCACTCTTGCTTTAGCTGCATGGGCTGCTGTATGAAAGCAAACTGTCTGTTCAGACAGCAAAAGAGACGGAACACAATCCAACCAACCCATTAACAGTCATCAAAAGGCAATTCAGCAATCTGCTCTTGGACAGTGTTTCTTAACACCAACTCCATTCTTTCCTCTCAGGTAGCTAATTGGACTGTAAACAATGCAGTGTATTGACAACAAGCCATAGCCAGAGTTGCCTTATTGCTATCCGCTGTTTACACGAGGAGCCCCAAAAAGTTGGCCATCTTTCGCGGATGCTAGCAGATGAGTTTTGAGTTTTGGTGTGTTTGTTGGTGGTTGTATATGTATAGCTCTGTAGACATTTCTGTGTATAAGAAGATACAGAGATATTTACAACATAACCAAATATATATCATGACATGAGATAAGTAAATCTGTTGTCCAGAAAATGACTCACCAACAGTAATACATTCCTTCTTGTGGGAAGTGAAAACTGGTGTGGGTGTAAGGCCTTTTTTGTTTAATGACGCATTTTTTTCAGGGTTCAACTGCATACATCTGCTGTAGAAAAATAGAGCGAATAACTCTGACTTCAGCAAAAAACAAGAGTCCTATATCTAACACACAAGTCATTCAATCAGCGTGTGTCCCATTCCTCAGGTACTTTCCACCAATCAGTCTGGATGTCTTTTCTTTCCTTCCTTTGTAGTGTATCATTATCTGTTGGCTGCTCCCATTACTACCAAAGAAAAAAAAAATCCAGAATGACCAATGAAAAAGTCTACATTAAGGGTGTTTAAATAAAGCAGAAATATACTAGTCAACTTAAAAGTGAGTTTTACAAAAGAAGCATGTACGTTGGATGAAAAGACCTAAAATCAATATTTAGTCTCATTCGAACACATGGTACCATTGGTCACTGACCACATAAATCCAGCCTGTGAATGAGCCAGGTCTCATTGGTATTCCTGGATGCTATTGCTAGGTAAAAGGTATTGATGAGCTGATAGATGCACGTGGCCTTGGTACGTGACTCTCTGACATGAGTTACAGTGGCTGTCCCTGAGGGATTTGTATGAGCGTGTTTGTGTGTCCTTCAGGGAAAGACAGTTATGTCTTTATGGTTAGGGTTCGCACAAATTGTTTCCATGGCGCTTATCTATCATTGAGACCTTTATTGGGCTAGGTTCATTCCACCTTTCATAAACACCAGGATGATATTATTTGAGTTACACAATAAGGTATATTTTCTTGTGTAGTGTATGAAATAATGACAGTAGAATGACGTAACAGGACAGGGCAGGAGGTGAGAGTGGGGGAGGGGACTGATTGACGGTGTTGTGGCAGTGCAACAAGCTGCCATGCCCCCTTTTTTTTTTTCTCCTCCATCCATCTGTTCCATTAGGATTACTCATTTGTAGAGAGATTGAGGAGGAGAGAGGAAACGGTGGGAGGGCAAAGTCTGGCAGAGGAGGAGATCCATCATTAAAACCTACAATACCTGAATTCAAATCACTTTTCCACGATATCTTTTCCAGTCAAATGAACCGCTGGGATAATGACTCACTGTTGAAATTATGGATCGGTGTTATATAGTTGAGTGTTCTCAGGGGGGCTATTCAGGTAGCACAGATTGCAATGAGAGATAAGAAACATTGTAGCGGTGTGTTATGTAATACTCAACTGCAGCGCCTGCTCTGATTATTAAGACATTGCTCCCATCTGACATATGTGTTTTATAGGTCTTTCTTTTTAACAAAGTGCATTCATCATGCTGTGCACCACTGGCCTGCTGTCTGTCATCATTTTTTAAATCAGTTTTGTTCACACCAATGTGTTGTGTTTCTTGGGCAAGTGTTTTTTGCGCACAAAAACCTTTTTTTTTTAAGTATTTCAATTCTAACTTTTTAGAATCCTTCCTTCCTGTCTTTATATGTTATATCTTAGTATATTATTTCCTCCTGGTAACGATTGGAATAATGAACCAGGTTGACATGTGTGAGAGACACTCGGGTAAAAAAAGAAACAACCTACTTGTAATGCAAAGGTCCATATAGCAGAATGAGAGGTGTAATACTCCACAAAGGATGCATCCATTTAACGTTGACTTTTTCTTTTGCTTCTGCCCAATAATGACAGAAATATGAATCTTCCCAAACTGCCATGGAAACCTCTCCCTGAAGTTATAATTGTCTGTATATCGGTCTACTCTGTTTGAATCTGTTTTAAGCATCTTCCTGTGACATAAACTCATTCAGAATTTAAAAATAACTGGGAAATTGCAGTATATATTTTCTTGAAATTGGAAGAGCATATCTGCAGACCTTCCTGCATGGTTTATTCAGTGTGTTATAAAAAGCATCTGTGCAGTATGAACCTCTCAGTTTTATGCACGAGTGCAGCAGCAGGTGGTGCCTGGACATGTGGCTCTTATCGTTGGCCTCATCTTTAACACATGCTGGGCTTCCATACTCTCCTGTCACCTCTCTTGGTGTTGACATAATGTCATTTTTCATGTTTTTGAGGCAAATGCTTGAGCATGCTTATATTTCATTGCACTCCAAAACATGCATATCAACAGCACACTGCAGCTCATGCAGGGATTTCTGCTCATTAACTCACTTGCATTCTCATACTTCTCCAATGAGTTAGCTTCTGCATCAGTCAAAGGGTATCATCAGTCACTGCCAGTTGTGAGACGTGCCTCAACACTCGACAATTTTTAATCCGGCACTGCATCTCCAAACACAATGATGTTCTGCTGTCAGTTACAGCCCCAACTATGTGATGCCCGCGCAAATCACCAGCATAAATGCATAATGGTGCAACAACAACAAGAGTGAGACAGCACACAGCAAAATAGCCCATATCACTGAACATCAAATGCAAAGGCCAGACATACCATCAGCAACATTTCGATCAAAAGCTAGAACAGTGTGACGTGGGGGTCTTAAAAGAATGCTATGAGTGTAGCATATAGGAGCAAGCAGGAAATTAATGCAAATCATAAATACAGTTAGTTGTTGTGATTTAACCTGATTGGTGCACACCAGGTTGAACAACAGCCAAATTATGGATACGATAGTGAAGAAGAAGATGAATTAATTTGCGGTTTTTGACTTACCTGTGAGGATTTAATCCAGGCCACTGTTTGTCTTTGGGAAGTGGTTCAGACCTGCAACAAAAAGAAAGGACATTAGATGTTAATGTGGCTGTTTTCAGCTTAAATTCAGGCAAACTCCAATCAACTTCCTCACATGACCAATGAGGTAAAATGGAACATGAGAGAAAAAAAAAAGAAGGTGAACCAGACCCTCCAGAAGTTCTGTGTCGTTGAAATAAAAAATGGGTTTCTTATTTTAAAAAGAGTACCTCTGATGAATGCAACCAGTTAAGAAAATATAATCGAGACAAAGCAAGCAGACTTCAATTCATTCATCAATAAACGCCCCTGTCACACGCTGCGCGGCGTGAACACATCCTCCAAGCTCCCAGGGGAATTCCCAGTAAATGACTGTCTCGCTGAACACCAGGCCTTCAATCAATAACCAAAATGTCTCCAGTCGTTTTTTATTACTTTCACCTCCAGCAGGGGACACAAATGAAGGTTTACCCGGCCGTACACATACTAATTTAGATGCCCCCCCACCTCGTGCAAATAGGCTTCCCAAACGTGACCATGAATGCATTATCATAATCTCCAGAGAGACCCTCCATTCATCACACATCAGCAAAACAAATGCGACAGACAAAGAACGTGAGTGCATTTAGACATGGAGCCATTAAAATTGTAGTTAGCTCAGAGGAGAGAGATGGTGGATTATGTGAGTATACATTAATAAGCCGAGGTCGAGCTGTTTGAACTTGACGGATGATGTAAAACGATGAGAAAGGAGTCTTTGTGGCAGCAGTATCTCATCCATGTCATCACAGGCAGTTCAGAGAGAGGTAGAAAGAAAAAGGGATGGGAGGACTGCCAGCAACCAGACCCAACCCCAAGCTGTGATGCGTTACCATGGAAACAGACGGATGAAGAAAGAAAGAGGTGAGAATATTATTTAATATCTCATTTCAGCATGTGAAAATTGATCTGAATTGAAGTTAGTTCAGCTGAAGGAGTATTATTTGAAAGATGGAATCTGGAAATTTGAATTTATTTAATTTATTATTCAGCAACTGAAATAAGCAGAATTGTACACTAAACTGGGATAAAATGAGAGAGCTGATGTTAATAAATAGTGACAGCAACGCTCAAGGACATGAGAAAACCCCGAGCGGGAGAGGCAAAGCGAGGTTGATGGGAAAAAGAGTGTTTTGAGAGTGAGAGAGAAAGCATGAAAAAAAATGAAGGGCGAGTGGGAATCAGAAGCATGCATTATTAACAGGCAAATCTAAAAGCGCTTCATCAGAGTGCATGTGAGGGGGGTGGAGAGATGTACAGAGACAGAGAAGGAAGGGCTAGGTGTTGGCAGAAGAGAAGCTAGCAGAGCTAACCCCGAGCTCCATCCGTTAATATAGAGATAAAAACAGACAACAGAAAACAGAGATGTTTTCTCTTTATAAGCAATAGTCCATTGTAGTTTTTTGTAAAATATGCAGAGTTGCTTTTTTACAAAGATAATTCGAATTCACTCTTTAAATTACAAAAATAACTTTGTTAGCTTAGCCTTAAATAAAGCCCTTAATTAAAAAGGGGAGAAACAGCTAGTTTAGTTTTACACAAAGCCCATGAATATAAAATCGGGCATATCGTGTCACTAACTACGACTTTATGTCTCATGTTCATCTATGAAACTGCAACTAAATAAATAAAATGCAAATGAGCTTTTTGGGTGATTATGTGCTTAATTATTTCTTGGCCCGTGGCGGTAACTTCAAAGAGCAATGCTAGTTGCTAGCAAGCTAATGGTGTTGTCTACACTCCAGGGGAAATGTCAAAACAAAAAATGGTGTTATTTTTATGGGCTAATGAATGAGCTACAAAGGTGCTAGTATGACAATTGAGTTTCTTTTAGACAGAGGTAAGCTTAACTGTTTACCATTTTCTAATCAAAGCAAGGCGCAGGCTACTAGCATGCCAATAGTATTTATTCTACTATCAAACTATTGGCAAGAAAGCAAAAAAGTATATTTTTTCAAAATGTCCAACTATATACTTTGATTAAATCAATAAGGCTACATCGCTAACTATTGTGAGGATAAGCCTATTTCAAGTCATCACTTTGGTCTCTGTTTTTCGCTGATGGTGACATAAATTCAAGCAACATTTTCTCTTCCAAATATTATCTGTCATTTAACATAAGGGTATGAAAGGGGTCTGGAATACAACGCTTTGATGTTACTCCCTTAATATCTTGCAAGTAACATGTTTGAAAAATTGCAGGAACAATAATCACAACAAGATGTGCACTAAACAAACTCATTGCAACATGTAAAATATTATGAAACACAGCATATTCCCTAAGTTAAATGCAAAGAAGTACATTTACCAGCTAGCCAAACCATGCATTATAATACAAATGTATTATTAAAGTCTATAGATTCCTATAAATCATCTTGCAGTATTTTCTAACCAAAACAAGACAAGAAGACACCTTAAAAGCATGCTCTATAGAGCAATTGTTTTTTAATCGGGCTGAGTCTTCAGAAGAAATCATGGAGCAAAAATAGATCTGAAATGTCCAAATCTTTAGACGGGAACTAAAATATCTCTTTGACAACAGTGTGAATGTGAAATGTAAGCTCTCTGAATACTAAAACAATCCCTGGAGTTAAGGCCAGCGTTTCTAAGACTGTCCTTTGGTCCAATTCCTGCCTGATCACTAAAGCCAAGTGTCCAAACTGCCTGGTGCAGTTCCACTCTGATTTACTATCTGCTCTTTCAATTAGCTGACTGACTTTATGGATCCACTGGGAACCAATACGCTGCATGTCAATGAATGATTTGATGTGTTTGCGGTATGGGGGGGGGGGGGGCTTCAGCCTGTGATAGAATAACTGACCCCAGGCATGAATAGAAAGGTGGGTGCACTTGTGTGTCTGTGTGTGTGTGTGTGTGTGTGTGTGTGCTGTAACCCCCCCTAGACTGAGGGACCTTAGCAATCAGCCACAGTAGCAGCTGCCGCAAAAGAAAACCCACATAGACACCATTATTACTCCATGGCCCTGAACGCCTCTTTCTGCCTTCATCTGTTTCCTACACAATATTGACACACAACCTGGTGAATTAAAACAACCCCTAAGGCTCCTCCCTATTAAAGGGTTAATAACTCACATAATCAAATGCCTGCAAGCAGAGATAACTTTAAATGTGAGGGGAAATGAATATTAAGACAGAAATGTGACTTTGAATTGCTTATATGCCAATTTAAACTGAAAATGTTATTTATAAAAAAATCAGACCTGAATATTAAAGAGAGGCAGCTACGGTGTATCACTTGGTACACTAAAACTTCATTATCTCATCTCAATATTTAACTTCCTTTCAAATTAGATTCTAAGCATTAAATCAGTGCATACCCAGCAAACATCCTAAGAGGAATATCTTGGCTGTCTTTCAGGGAAGTTGCTTTGAAAAAGCCATGTGGTCCATATGTCACCAGTACAGTTGCAGTCATGTAATAAAATGGAACTTGAAATAAACAGTGTAGCATATAGTCTGTATTGCTTACAGCTCAGTGCTCAGGCTGCCAAGAAAACAGACGGCTTTTTTTTTTTTTTTCACTCTTCGGAACACGTTTCATTTCCACACAGCGAGTTGCCCCGGAGCTGTCCATTGCAAACAGCAGAAAACACAAAAGCAACACTTGTGTGTTTCAATGTCGGCAGCACATCAACACAGGAAAGAGGATGAAGGCATGTACATGTGTCCTTTTCAGATTCAAGATGAGAGGGGAAAAAAAAGCAGTAATGCAAAATACATGATGATTGTGAGACGTGTATCCCGACTGACTCGGCAGAGAAGCACCTGGGCAGCGACGACTGTTTGTCTGCAGCCTGAAGGCTCTTCCTCCTGTTATCGGACATACCATCTGTGTGTGATTCCAGTGGAGGCCTGAGGGTTATTTATTGCTCTGCCTGTGTGTGTGTTCTCTGTCCATGCACATCTGCTTACATGCACCTTTTGTCACAGAAAATGACAAACGACCTCATTTAGATTGTCGCCCTATTGCGCTAAGTGCACCATGTTTTTGTGTCAAATACTGTAGATACAATGTCCCAAAATCCAATCACAAAAACATTGACATTGATTATTATTGCATTTCCTCCTGCGAATAAGTAAAAAAGCTTTGATTCAACTGAAGGGATTTCCCCCAGGGACTTAAGGAGGTACTCTTTGAGCTTACACTTTAGAGAACAAGGTCGAAATAAAGTCCCAAACGTTCTCTTCTCCAAAAAAAAAAAAGGGACTTTGGGGTGGGACGTGCAGTCATCGACATTTTTGATTGGTTCAATAGTCGTAGCATCACACGTCAGCGTGATGTCTCACCTTAGTCTTCACCGGTCTTTAGACTTGCTGGAAACAAAAAGGATGCAAATGGATCACAAAACTCATGATTCAGATCATCTCAGGGTTTTGAGTAACAGATGGATCGATTTTCAGATTTGATAAAAACAAAAAAAAAAGGTTATTTATGATATTACGAGAGAAAGGGGCCAATGATAAGCTACAGAATGTTGTCACAACCAACCACCAGCTGATACTTTAAATTCAATTAAATACAGACACAGTAAGCATGTGTTTTATATGATACAAGTAGCTGATATACATTCAAATATCAACAATTAACTTCTCTTTCTGTTTGTAAGTCCATGCATAACTCGCTCAACATTACTTAAACATTTCTACAGCGCATCTCAAACGTTGCTCAAACATGCAGGTGTCACTGCAAACCATGTTTGCCGCATTCTGCCTGCATGGCAGATGAGATTGGCCCGGATGCGCTATGTGTTCCTGTGTCTGACTTCCTGTCTGGGTTGATCAAAACACAAGCATTAACAGAGAGTGACACAGACAGAAAGCGGTGCACACCGGTACAGTTGAATTAAGCAGTATGTTTAGAATTGTGGTGAAGTTAGTTGTAGAGTGAAGAGGTGTGATGACTGTCAAATAGCCGACTTTACAATTACTTCACATCCCACAGTTGCTGACCTGGTCGTGGGGAGTGATGGATA